GGAATGTTCTAAGTGTGTCAATACCTCCCCCTCCTTACTTTCATTCCAAATTTTAACCATTTAAAAGAGGGACATTGTCAGTCAAACACTAGAAGGCAGCACACAGACAGACAGACATACACACATACTTGAGCCCGATGTTCACATGAGCAAACAGCAGTGTCAGGGAAGGTCAATGAGGGGAAGATGTCACAGGAATCCCATTGCAGACTGAGCAATGGAAAGATTTCAAGGTGGGAGTCCTCCTGAAAAGCCAGCTGAAGAACGTGCATGGAAAGCTGATTTTCCTATTCCTGTTGGTTAACTCCATGGCAGGCCAACAGAGGAGAGTGTGTGCCCCCCCCCCCTTTATAAACTGATGTACAGGTAGTGGCTGAATTATGACATATTCGAATTACAATGAACTGCACTTACAACCCTCAGTGTATCTGAAATATTGCATCTTCCAAGGAGGAAGTTACAGGAAGACACATGCAGTGGATATGTAAAAAATTGCTGAGTTATGTGAACACACTCCAAGCATTTGATTAGGATAATATGATGGAAAGAGATCAGGGGAAAAATCGTCCATATGGCAAGAACCCTGAATTTAGAACTTGATATTGCCAATGTGGAACAGCTCATAGATCATGAAGAAGAGGAGCTGACAGATCAGCACTTAAGGACTTTTGAAGAGGAAAGAAATGCTAAAGAAGAAATAATGAGGAAGAGAAAGGAGACAAGTTACCAAAAAGTTTTACAGTGAAAGGATTAGCTGAAGTTTTTTCTAAACTAAACCAGGGGCTTCAGTTGCTTGAAAACATGGACCCAAATGCTAATCACTTTGCTATAGTCGACAGGCAGATTTGGGAAGCAGTGAGATGGTACTGCGAAAAGTATGAAGAAACAAAGAAAAGGACCATACAGACAACTCTCACTAATCTTCCGACTAGGAACGCCACCACCATTCCCAGGGATAATCCAGATGACCCAGAACTTTCCACAAGTGAAGTTATTACCACAACTGACACACTGTCAATGTAGTCCAACTCTTCTTCATCACAGTAAATTTTTATGATTTGTATATTTTTATGTACACTTGTATTAAAATGTATCTATAAGCTTATATGTAATGTTTCCATTATGGAACTCTGTTGTAAATTGGAGATTACCTGTAATTTTGTTAACTGTTTTAAACTGATGGGGATGGATGAGATGAGATACTCAAGTAGCAGTTTGAAAGATATGGGTTTATGAAATTATAGTTTATAGAAATATACGGTATCATTTTCCAATAACACTACTGAAAACATGAAAGAAATATAGGTGTTAGATAACTTTATCAAAATATGAAAGCTACTCACTCATTATGAAGAGGCTCTATGAATAAATTACATACAAATGATCAAATTTATAATATTAAGTTAATTAAAAATTTAAAAGATTTAATTAATTAAATTAAAAATTACTGCTCTCAAAGGAAAAATTTCATGAAGAATTATAAGGAAATGTGACTTGAGAAGATTGTTTCTTCTTTGCATAGCCTACACTGAGATGTGGATGACACTTGCTGTTTATGAATGATTGCTAATGCTTTTGTTTTTTTTTTTTGTTTTGTTTTGTTTTAATCATTATTGGCTTTTTCCTTGAACCCACTTTATTCAGTGATGCCCAAATTCAATGTATTATAACTCCCTGTGAGATACTAAAATTAATGATGTTTCACTGATAGGGAATTAAGAAGAATTGAATAAATCAGAAAATCAACTGGGAGCAAAACAATATGTCTGGATTTGAAAACATATTTCTTCGGTAGAGAAGTATGGCCCATTGGCAGATGGGAAACTTCAAACATGAAAGACTATCTTCTCCTTTCAACCCTTTTGAAACAACAGTTCAGGAACATTTGAACACAAATGGGATAATATTAGATTTATCATAATGTGATTATAACACTAAAACTATAAAAAATTTTATAGAAATAAGTATTTTACCAGCATAATGACTTTGCACAGTTTTTCTCTAGTAGGTTTAGATATATTCTTTAAAAAACATGGAGACCAATCCCTAGAAAAGGGCATCATGTTCAGTAAAGTAGAGGGTCAATGAAAATGAGAGAAACCCGCAATAATATGGGTTGACACAATAGTCACAACAATGGACTCAAACATACTAATCAATGATCATGAAGATGGCACAGGACTGAACAACGTTTTGTTCTATTACACATAATGTTGCCATGAGCTGGAGTCAACTTGATAGCGACAAACAGTAACAGCCACAGTTTAGAATATATAATGTCAACATGTAGTTATCTGCCATACTTTCATTGAAGAGGACATGACTTCTGCGTTTGTATAAATAACATTGACAACTAGAAGAATAATTTATGTGGGAAATAAACCAAAACAGGAAACAGACTTTTCCACATGTGTCACAACCTATCCAAACACACATATTACCATTTCCTTAACCACACATTGGCAAAAAGGCCTTTGGTAGCTTGCAAAATTATGGTACCTAAAATTATCCATTATCATAAAATTCACTTATAGAGCTGATGTCCCTTGCAATAGCTACAGTCACGTCCTTGCCGACAGCAGAGTGCTCACAAAAGAATTTATCCTACCTATAATGGTAGTATTCTGGCAAAACATAACAGCTCACAAAGAGATGGGATATATAAAATCATTTAACAAACATCATAGAATACTTTTCATGTGTAACTGCAGAATGAGCATGCAGCGACTATAAAAGAGTGAATAGTCAGATACGGACAAAGACAGCAATCAACTTCTACCCATGCTGTTAGTGCGGGGGCAGAGGTGTAAATACTCAGAAGATATGAAAGAAAAAAAATTATTGCCTACATGTGTCAACCGTCACCTCCTACCCTTGTACTTAGTTTTGTATCTGCTGTCAGCATTATGTGGTATTATTTATGGAGCCCATGCTGTTTGCGTGGGGCTGCCCCTGTCAAAAACTGAGTTCCCACTGAAGAGCAAGAAATAGATGCATCACTCTGTGAAAATCAGGGTTTATCTTAGAAAGTATCCCTGGATGCTGAGGTTTCTAGGGAAATTTTTAACTTAAGTTCACTAGTAGCTAAAAATTCAGGAATAGAGTTGTACAGAGTTGGAGACAGGCATCTAGGTTGTACCAAATAACAATATTATGGGAAAATATCCAAGGCTGAGTTGACTCATTTACTTACCTGAGATAGATGCCATGTTGCACTGGTCAATCACTATATACAATGAATACTTACAAAAATAAATGCATCAGATAAAGAGAGATAATATATATATGAGAATCACTATCTAAAATCCTTTTAGGATTAAAAATTATGCTTATTCCTGATTTGAATTCCATAGCCTAAAATTAGCAGTTTATTAATTTTATTACAAATCTTTATGTTCCGTGTTTATTTTAAATACAAGCTAAAGACATCCTATTGTCATTCCAGATAGTGGATGATAACCATGCTCTTCTGAAAAATATTTTGCTACTTTTTACAAATGGAAAAAATTACATTCGTTGTCATTTTACTCTCTGGAAACCACAAACAGTAATGATTTTTTTAAAGTTCGATATTAGATTGACTTTATATAATAACTAGAATAAATGCTAAAACAACCAGATATATATATAGCGTTCCAATGTTCTATATAAACTTCATTGGCAATAAAATTATTTTTTTTAGAATCCAAAGACAAATTTGACATATTAAAATCACTGCCCTATTACATTTTCCCAGTGGTGCAATGGTTAAGAGCTCAGGCTTCTAACCAAAAGTTTGGCAGTTCAAATCCACCAGCCACTCCTTGGAAACCCTATGGTGCAGTTCTGCAGTTCCACTCTGCCCTGTAGGGTCGCTATGAATCGGAATCGACTCCACAGCAACAGGCATCAGAAGTATAATTCACTTTCTGGAGCAAATCGTGCATACCTTTGTTACAAACAGAAAGCAGCTGCTTTGCTAAAAGAAATTATGGAAACCAACTTGTGTTTTATATACCAAGGCAGTATCCCTTCTTTATAAAATTTCCACTCTTACTTACAAAGCTAACATCCTTCAAAAGGCCTTCTGAAATTTGGGGTGTCAACCTACATAAGGTACTGGGACTTAAAAGGGATACAGAAGATGTCACATAAGAGAAACAAATTTAAGCAGCATGAATTAACTTTTTATTGGGCAGACTGTTTGAATGATGAGCAAAATGTATTCCTTTAACCTGATTAGAGGCCTAGCGGTGCAGCGGTTAAGGGTATGGCTGCTAACCAAAACGTCGGCAGTTTGAATACACAGGCTGCTCCTTGGAAACCCTATGGGGCAGTTCTACTCTGTCCTATAGGGTTGCTACGAGTTGGAATACAATGGGTTTTTTTTTTTTTTTTATGGGTTTAACGTGATAATTCAGTTTCATGTGTTTAATAGTGTCTTATTTAGACCTTGAACAAAAGAGTAAAGGTAATTGGATCTTATTCTCTTCTTACCATCTCCTCTCCAATATCAAACGGACTAAATAGAAGGAGCCCTGGTTGTGCAGTGGTTAAATGCTTGGCTGCTAACTGAAAGGTCAGTAGTTCGAACCCACCAGCTGCTGCATAGGAGAAAGATGTAGCAGTCTGCTTCTGTAAAGATTACAGCCTTTGAAACTCTATGGGGCAGTTCTACTCACAGGGTTGCTGAGTCAAAATTGACTCGATGGCAATGGATTTGTTTTGTTTTGTCTTATCTAGAAGTCAGAAAGGCCAGGTAGGTTTCAAAAATGAATACTTGGAGGTGGGAGCATGGAGTCAAAGTTGGTTGACTGTAATACTAAAACAAGCTGACTAATCTTACAAAATGCTTTTCAAGACAGTGGATGACTCAGGACCAACAAACACTACTCATTAGCTGTGCAGGAGCACCATTTTCAAATGAGCAACATGTGCGCACTCGTGCACACACGTGCACGCATACACAATTATGTTATAAAAACAATTTTAGAGGTAAAACAAACAAACAAAAAACTTACTGAAAAATCTTCAAAGATTTTCTTCAGCTCTTTGTGACCATGCCTTTCAGCAATCTGTGCTGGATCTGACCCCTCCATATTTTTCATCTTAGATGCCCAGGTTGCTCCTGAACATTGAAGCAAATGAATAGCCAAGTTCTTTAAGCCAAATTTTGCTGTACAGTGGAGAAGCGTTGGAAGTTCTTTGAAATGAGTATCTGTAAACATAAAAATTAATAGGATTTAATATGTTTTTATTCTATCTGCAATCCAATAAGAAGTGGCCAAACATAATCTATTCCTACAAGTAATTCCCACAAAGCAGATCAGACTTTTAGTGTGATTTTACGTGTAAGAAACCATTAGGACTCTTAGAAATGTAGAGTCTTTCTCCCCTTTCTATTTCTCATCCTAAAATAAATATAAACTAATATTTTCACTAGCATTAACGCTCCACTCTTACTTGTAGAGTAAATTTAATTTAGAAAGGCATATCAACTTCTTAAATGTAAAGAAATTAAATCAAAACAAAAACATTATGTTGTAATTACTCCTTATGAATATACTTAGACCTTAGTCAGCAACAAACAACAAAATTCTGTCAGTTCGTCTGTATAAGACCTTTTTGTTTTTTCTACTGCCATGCTTACTTTGGTTCCTTCTGAAGCTGAATGAACATGAAATTCCTGGAGGGGTTTATTAGATTTCTGTATAACATTTTTTTCCTTCAAAAAGTAATACAACAGAAGATAAAGGTGAACCCTCTTATAAATATCTTAAGTATGGAAATTTCCATCAGAATTTTACAGTTTTCATATCAATGTTTTAGAGGTTGAACTTCATAATTACTTATTAACTATCAATTAGAAGACATGTATTAAGTTGCGTAACTATTAAATGACGAACATAAATTGCTATCTTAATGACAAAAAAAAACTTGATGAATGATGGTTTGCTATTATTCCATGCTTTCACGTCCCACTGAAAAAAAAGTCTTACTGAAATTAAACACCAATTTACGTTAATTGTTGCAGCATTATCAGAGGCAAGCAATGAAGACTTACAGCAACTGAAGCAAAGGCATCAAATCAAAAGGCAATTCTACTCTTCCAGCGAAATTCTAAAGCAACGGCAAGGAGCCACTTCATAATGCTTCTTAAAACTGTGAATCTGCATGGCCTCATTTAGCTCTTTGTTATTTTGTAGTGCCAAGGACCAAAAAAATAAAATAAATTAACAAACAAACAAACAAACAAAAAACAGGGATTAAACCTTAAACCTTGAGTGTTCAGTTCGCTTGGGTGCTTCAAGTTGATGGCTGGTATGTTTTAACAGAAAACAAAACAAAACAAACAGAATCCTTCAGGACACACTGAGTACTTACTGTAAGGAAAAATTCTATCCTTCATAATTGGTAGAACTAAATGGCTATAGGTAGACTGATGGTCATATTTCAATAATCAATGTTCTTCTGTGATGTGTAGTGGGACAAAAATTACCAGATATTGTATGAAGATAGGTGAAGATAAGCTTATGAAAGCTGAAACTTTACAACATAAATCTGAGCTATGTTTAAGATAAGTACTAATTTTCAAAATAAAAATAACGCATTTTCTGAATAGATATTAAGATATAATTTTCTATTTATTTTTATTCGAATGCATTATTAAAAAACAATGCTTTGCTACAATTAAACTAGGCCAAAGTTAATAACAAAAAAAAAAAAAAATCTAAGTGACAATGTCAGATTTTTACATGGCTTTTGTCATTTCTCTTTGTCATACTATACTAAAAAAAATCCTATGCCAATCAACATTTCAATCACTATTTCTTCACGCTGTTATTCCAGTAAATTTTTAAACAACTCTCATTACAGCCTAAGACGTTATTTTCATTAAATGTTTAATTATTACAGAAATGCACTGCCTTTTAACCTCAGCAACCTTTAGAGGTTAGCTTAGAGTCAGTTAGCCCTGCCATATATTCACTAAGTGAACTTCAACAAGCTATTAACTTCTCTGAACCTCAGTCTCCTCATCCAAACTTGCAGGGAGATTGAAATAATTAAATGATTTAACATATATAAAGTGCCTCACAAGGCATATGAAACGTAACAGGCATTCGATAAATATTAGTTTTCTTCCCTTTCTCCTCTCTGCATCAAATAGTTTAAAGCATCCTGTTTCTAATTTATCCCTGTTCAAATCTCAGGATCCCTAGTTCATTATTCCAGAGTCTTTATCATGCTGAGAGCTTGACTCTAGGATAATTGGTCCTTTGTAAGGTAATGAATTATTTTCAAATTGTCAAAATAAGAATTTACAGGAACCGTTTTCATTGTCTTGGATGGGATTATTTGGCCTGCTTATTTTCTTTGAGCAGGAAATGCTTTAGTCTTCTAATGTGTGTGGTCAATAACTAAACTATTTCCCGTTTAATTTTTTTTAATTGAGTAAAATAAGACAGACTTAGCCTTCCAAAGAATTTGACTTGATTCACAGAAGCTATATTATTTTTAATGCCAATTAAATCCTGATCTGTAGCATTATTTACACAGAATACCAAATAAACACAATCAGTACGTGCATATGGTATTTTACAGACATATAGAGATAGATATGGAAACCCTGGTGGCGTAGTGGTTAAAAGCTATGGTTGCCAACCAAAAGGTCGGTAGTTCGAATCCACCAGGCGCTCCTTGGAAACCCTATGGGGCAGTTCTACTCTGTCCTATAGGGTCACTATGAGTCAGAATCCACTCGACAGCAATGGGTTTTAGAGATAGATAAATAGATACACACAGATAGACATTATAGTCATACTTAAATAAAGAGATTCACATCAACAAAGGTTATGATTCAGAGCACTAAGCTAGTTTGGGTTTTTAAGTCATAATTTGAAAATAGAATAATACCTTTTTATATTTTCACCTTATCAAACCAAAAACAAAACCTGTTGCCAGTGAGTCGACTGCGAGTCATAGTGACCCTATAAGACAGAACAGAATTGCCCCATCGGGTTTCGAAGGTTGTCATCTTTACAGAAGCAGACTGCCATACCTTCTTCTTGCAGAACAGCTGGCGGGTTTGAACCATGGACCTTTCAGTTAGTAGCCAAGAACTTAACCACTAAGCAACCAGGCCTCTTTTATTTTATTTTTTATTGTTGTTGAAAATATATACAGCAAAGCACACACCAATTCAACCATTTCTACATGTACAATTCAGTGACATTGATTACCTTCTTCATGTTGTGTAACCATTCTCACTCTTTTTCCGACTTGCTCCTCCCCATTGACATAAACTCAGTGTTCTCCTAAGCTTCCTATCTAACCTTTAGAGTTGCTTTTGTTAATTTGCTCCTGTATAGATAGTTCTTTAAAAAAGCACAACACTCAAGACAGAGATTTTTTACTAATTAAGCTAAACTGTTGTTTCATTTAAAGAAGATGTCTGGGGATATTTTTGGTTTAAAGTTTAAAGATCATCTCAGGGCAATAGTTTTGGGGGTTCATCTAGCCCCTATGGCTCCAGAAAGTCTGGATTCCATTCAAATTTGAAATTCTGTTCTGCCTTCTCCTCACCCCTTTTTGATCAGTATTCTTCTACAGAATCTTTGATGAAAATGTTCCGTAATGGTAGCTGGACACCATCCAGTCCTTCTGGTCTCATGGCAAAGAAGGCAGTTGTTCATCAAAGCATTTAGCTACACATTTCATATCCTCCTCGTATTCCTGACTCTCCCTCATCCTCTGTTACTCCAGGTGAGTAACTTGTACGTTGGATGGCCACCTCCAAGCCTTTAAGACCCCAGGCACAGCACAACAAACCAGGAGGTGGAACATAAGCACTAAAAATATTAGGCCTATTAACTGTGATGTCCCATGAAACCATGATTCTAAACCTCCAAACCAAGAAACTAAATATGTTTAGTTGTACATAAACTCAGCAGCAACTCTTTTTTGTTGTTGCTGCTGTAAAAATATATATCACACAACATTTGCAAATTCAACTTTTGATAGGTGTACAATTTAGTGACATCAATTATACCAACTGGCTGTGCAACCATTACCCTTGTAATTTTTTTTATCATATACTGGGCATTGCATTAAAAATTGAAGTAAATATTGTTTACTCCAAGAAGAAGGCAAACACTTTCTTTAATCAGACAACTACAGTGGCAGGCTGAGTCAAATTAATCTGAGCTTGGTCTTCCTTGTGACATTACTTAGATTCAGTTCACCACTGGCCTCAAATATTTTGAAGCCATGATCAGAATCTTCTCCTCAGCAGAGTTTGGGATCTAAGACATGTTGCAACTCTAGAGACCTCTGTCTTTTTTATAGACTTGTTGCCAGCTTTTTTGGGTCACTGGGTGATTCTATTTGCTCTCCAGTCCTACCTTCAGATTTCTATACCTTAAAAGTTCTGTCTTAGATTTTTGGGGGCCCTCTACATTACCCAGTTAAGGAAGACTCCTCACCATCCTAAAAGATTAGAGGTATTTCTCTCAGCCTTTCTGGCCCTCAGCGTTCAGAAGCTGGCTGCTTGTGCTTTCCACGTGGTGAATGCCTAGTCTGCTTTGAAGGGATTTGTCTCAGCTAACACGTCCTACTCCCACTCTCCAGTAGGCACTGGCTGGCCAACAGGAAAAGCTCAGAGAGTTTTTGCAGGATCTCTCTCATCTCCTATTTTCCCCCACCCTTTGGCATACTAGCCCTGCGTGTGCACTCATAACGTTCTCTGCAAGAACATTTGTGGGTAGTGCAAACTCACTCTGTAGCTGGGGCTCTTTGGGATTCTTACCCATCACACTAGTCTAAAAGTAGCCAGTAAAAGTTTGTTAAGCATTAAGCTGGTTTCTCTTTACTCCTCATCTATGGTGATTTCTTCTTGTCCTGTTTTTCCGTCAGGGATGAAAGCAGTCATGAATCTCTTTTCTTTTATAAAGGATTTGTAACTTTTTGGAATTTAGTTCACTTCTGTATTTGTCCTCAGCATTCTACTAGGTTAAAAAAAAAAAAAAAACCACTGTGATTTTTAATGTCATCTTGCTTGTCTTCTTCTCACAGTGGGAGCAACAAAATCTTGTACATCCTAATCACAAGTATACATCGCATTTGTATTCCCTCCATTTGAGTTATTTTTCTTACATTCACATCATGTATTTCACAGTTTACAATCTTCCTTGTTGGGTTACAATGAAAGATTCCTTAGAA